TGGCCGCCGTCGCCGCGCCGGGCACGCTGGGCAACTCCGAGCGAAGCTCCATGTCAGGACCTGGCATGGAAGACAGTGGGGAGGGGGAGAGACTTGGGGTGAGGGGGGCACGGTGCGCGAAGCTAAAGCGCACCCTCGAGAAACCCAGGCTGAGGGAGGGAAATTTCGGAGCCAGAAGTTTGGCTCCTGGTTGTCAACTTGCTGGGAGGAGGTGCCTTTGGAGCCCCCTTGTAAGGCCGAGCTCCCCCCCCACCCCACTCCTTCCAAGCTCTTCTTATATCTGATTCGTGGGCTGGGTGTTAGATTTCGTTTGAGTCAGTGGTTCTGCTGGAAAAATAAAAAAGTTTGAAAGGTCACTGGTTCAGATGGATATAAGGAGAATTTGGAAAAACAACAACAACAATATCCCCCAAAGTTTAGCTTCACTGGGGGGTAAGACGACATAAATGTTTGATGGGATTTGTTTTAGAGGGAAGATTTTTGACCCAACAGATTGATGCTAAGACAAAACAGGAACATCTGAGGGGAAATGCCAGTTTTGTGGAAGAGTGAAGAGGAGAGAAAAGGAGAGTGCAGCTAGTTGCGCTGGAGGTTTTTTTGTTTTTTTGTTTTGTTTTGTCTTGTCTTGCTGGTGGGAGAAGGAGAGTTCAAGGGGGAAATCAGGAATAGGAAGAATAGCTCTAGGAAGTGGGGTGAGGGTTAGGAAACAACTCAGGGACAAAGTTAGGCCCAGGGGCCCAGAGAACCTTGGAAAGGTGGGAGCTACAAATTCCGTGGTGCGGACCTTCATAGAGTGGGAGGGAAAAATGGGTGTGGAGCTGAGTGTAGGAGGCCTGGAGAGGAGGACCAAAGAGAAAACTCAGCTGAAGGAACTCTGGATAGGCAAACCCAGACCAAAGATTAGCTAGCCCGCGGATCGCCAAAAACAGCGGACCTGGGTGTCTGGGTCCCCGGGTTCTGCTGCGCCGCTCTCACTGCCCCGGGGCTTGGCAAGACCGACCTTCCCAAGTGGCCCTGGCGAGAGGGGCGTGTTAGAGAGAGAAAAAACCCGCAGCGATAGGCCGGGGTGGGAATGAGTAAAACCTGTGACACAATTAGAGTCTGGAGGAGTAGTCAGGGAGGAAAAAGTATCCTGCAAAAGTTAGGTATCGCAGGGCGGAGGTCCTGACCACCGCACTGGGCCTTCTGCTCCCCTCCGGGCTTAGGCACCAAATCAGACACGCCCTCCCCGTCCTGGGGCCTCTCGGGACCCCGCTCGGGCGCAGATCGCTGCGTTCTGCTCTCAGAGATGGGTTCCTGGGATGTGAATGGTTTCGCGGGCGGCACCGAGGCAGGGGAATGGCCTCTGGAACTGACTCAGAGAGAACACAGGAGTCCCACCCGCGCCACCGCCCCTGAAGGCCCAAGCAGGCCCGCTCCGAGTTTCCTCCGCGGCTACCTCTGGGTCCCCCGGTCCCCACCAGAGCCCGGGACCGAATACTGGTGTCACCGTGCCACAGTCCTAGACCCCTCCGCTCTGCAACACGCGCGGCCTCTACCTTCGGGCCCTCGAGCAGCACAGGCCCTGAGGCCAGCACGGCCAGGGCCTCGTCCACGGGGGCGCAGACGGGGCCGCG